CAGGAATCTGACAGTAACATGAGAGAGGTGGGGTTTTTCTCCATGAGGAGGCACCTGTGCTGCCTTCTGAACTGTGTATGTGAAGTATAGTAAATATATGGGTTAAAAAAGTCATAATTCAAATCCCTATAGTGGTACTGATCAGATCTCTGTTTCTGTAGCAATGAGAACCAAAGGTGGCCTTTTAAGGCTCACAGTTCATCTACCAATTTCCAGTTCTGCTTCAGGATTCTTAAAGTATTAGAGTGCGTGCTTTAAACCCACAAAACTTACCTTTACCTAATTTTCACCATTCTAACCTAAGTTTCCACGGAAACAGGGTTGAAAAAGCTGCTGGTAGCCAGCAGGCAGTCAGCAACCGAGAGTGAGAACTCTCCTTTGTCACTTTCCACTACTGGATGCCTGCTGTGTGCCAGTATGCAAAGCTACCTAGGCTTCTAAAATCTGGATTACTTTCAATTTGAGGGGGAAAAATTAAATTAATCTACTCTTTTCTCTCTTTAGATTGTGTCAGTAAATTCCAGGAGGGCAAATGGGCTAATGAGTCCTGATCTGTTCAGTAACACTGAGCCCCACATAATCAAAGCTTTCCCAACTAACTGGGCCTCTCCTTTCATACTTTCCATGTTTTAAGAGTATTTTCTCTCGAATTTCATGTCTGTGCACATGTAAACACATATTGTGATACCGTAACTATATCTTTCTATCTACATATTTACAAGCCTTTTTTGCATATCGTATAGCCTGTGTAAAAAATTTTGTTTTCATGTATACTTAGGGAACATTTCTGAATGAACACATTATAACTGATCCTCAGTTAAATATTAGGAGTAGGATGTGAATGGAGATGGCTTTTAACCAGAAGTAGATTATAGCTGCAGGAAGACTATAGGGTCTATTTGGTCAAGACTCATACAAAACTGAGATAAGCATGCACAACCTGACAAGATCAGATTAGACCCTTCCCCCACAAGTACTTCTCCCATAAATATTTATCTACTTTCTATTACAAATAACCAGGAAATGAAAAAGAAGGATAGATTTATTTTTATTTTTTTTAATAGATTAGAAATAGAAATGCAGCTTCAAATCTTCAGAGTATTGATATTTTAAGTATGAAATGAATTCCAGTACTGGTTGCTGTTTTTTAAATGGTAGCAAAGTACTGAAATTCTTCATGGCAGCTATGTAAATCAGCAGCATTTAGAAACAAAGAACTTTGTACATATGTGCATTTTTGCTTACTATTGGGTACCTAAGAATTAAATAACTTACCACCTATGAGAGAATAGGTGTTGACAGAGTCAGCACTGCTGCATTTTTAAGCTTGCTTGAGGCAACATAGCTGGCATTAAAGTTAAGCATGGCATTTTTTCACCCTCTCCCCCTCCCTCCAGCCCAAGTGAATGCTCACTTCATCAATGAGAAACACAACTGACTTGCCTGCCAGATGTAACAGAGATCCATGAATTCACATCTATTCTATAAATTTGTGTTTCATTCAGATTGTTGAGACTTTGACTTCACTTCCTTGTGCAGTGGTTCTTAAGGGGCAAAAATCTGAAGCCATGCACGTGTCACTAATGCAGAACTGTATGTTGGTGATCCACTCATCAGACGCTGTGGATTGCCCTTCTGTTGTAATAAAAAATAGCTCTTTAGCTTTAAAATTTAAAACCTTAAAAATGTACAGAATAATATTTTTACATTCATCTCTGAAAGTAACGAGCATGTGCTTTTTAAAACACTTCTGTGTCACATAAGAATAATATTAATACTTTAAAAATCTCAAGATGAAAAATGTAAGTCCTTTTTTCTTTTCCTTTTTTTTTTTATCTTTTTTTTCCTCTAGCATTTTACGATGGGATAATGAGACAGATGTCTCTCAACTGGAAGGACATTTTGACATTGTTATGTGTGCTGACTGGTAAGTACATAAAAATCATAAAACTCATGTTAGAAAAATAGCTTTGCTGGAGTAATTGTACTGTGCTGCTTGCTGATGGCTAAGCAAAGTCAACAAATGAAGCACAAAGCCACCTTAACCTCAACAAATTAATATTCATCTCCATGTGACAGTTATGAGGTAGTCTTCTATCACACAGTAACTTCTACCACATTATTTCCCAAAGATTGATTTTGAGAAGCATTTCCATTTTCTGGAATTGCCTCTGTTTCATGCTTGACGTATCAGTAAATGGACGACTTAGGCAAATTGCAAATAATTATGGCTCAGTGAGGAACAGTCTGGAGAAAAGGGAGTTTATCAACACAAACAGCTCAATTAGCTTACTTCTTAGGAAAGATCTGACTATTGATATAAGGGGATATGTTTTTTGCTCCCTGGAAAATCTTTCCAAGGGAAAAAAAAGATTTTCATAACCCTTTTTTTCCCTATCATATTCTATTTCTTAAATAAATTTGACAGCAATATTTGTAGACATAGGCTTTATATTATTTGCACAGGCACATATTAATTGTAAGAGAATTCTTAGTAAAAAAAGAATACAGCACTTAATTTATGAAAAGGTAGATAGATACATGTTACAATGTGCTATATTGTTTAATAATGTATGCACATGGATTTGATTATTGACACAACCCTTCTCTGATACTGGATTTGCAGAATTGTGCTGTATTTGCTGTATGCTAACTTTAAAAATGGTACACTATTAATTATTTGTGTTATATAAATGGAGACAGTGTAAAAAGAGATGTGCAAATTTTATTTAAAAGAGTTGATATTTTTAAATGAATCTGTCTCTCCTTTGTGGACATTTGCTCCTAACCCTTTAAATGTCCAAACCAGTAAAAGCTGTTTATATTCTGTTGCACATAACTGTTTTGAGAAACCAAATTCTGAAAAAAAGAGACTTCCTAGGACAGCTCAGTTCAGCAGATTTCTGTACCTTACTAAGAAATAGTTAAAGGAAAAAGGCAAAGGAAATACGAAACAGCATATTGTCTTTTTAAACAATGTGCTTTTTAAGTGGCTTCTGATAAAATACTCCTCTAAAGCTTTTTTTTCCTTTGATATTTTGCTATTTAAGCAAACACTTCGAATTTCTGAAGAGTTACCGATTTTGTATAGCACTGAAGAAGGTGTGTTTAGTCATCTTTTTTTTAATTTTACTAATACCTGTTTGTTGATAGAGTGCAACAGTGCTTCATTTCTCTTAGCATTTAATTTCAGAAAAGTTCTTTGTTTCCAAAAAGGGCAGAGAAGGGTTTCTAACTAATCGCTGATAATGTGCCTCAGAGATGCATCATCTGATTAAAATAAGGAGCTAAACAACACCATATGATTTCAGCAAGTAATTTAGTAAATGCCTTCCTCACCAAATATTAGAATGGATACTCCAGGTTTCATTGCACAGATGAAGTTAATGCTGGACAGGATTAGATCAGATTAAGTATGAAAGTCAGATCAGAGTGCTGGCGGACATGAGCAGGAGGGCATCAGTCTTCTCGGAGGCTTAGACAAGGCTCACATATGGATGTTCTCCAGATTATGTGGGTGAAGCAAGGTCTTGCCAAGAGATTTAGAGTTAAATTTGTTCTTCACACAAATATCAAAACAACCTGGCTGTGCCATCTCTTGTATTCTTGATACTCACACCATGTCATCCTATTTGTGCTGGGAGTACAGCAGCATGGAGCAAGACTTAAGTTGGGGTTTTTTTCAATAATATTCCTGCCTAATACTCCTCTCAGTCTGTTTGGAAATAGTGTAGTTTCTTTGGGAAACAAAGAATCAAACATGACAGGTAAAATACATAATGCATTTTCAATCCCTGTATTTTGTACATTTATTTTGAAGCACTTAAGATGCAGGTAAGTGTATAAATATTTATAGATTTCTAAAAAATAAATAGAAATGTGCAGGTTAGTTTAAATTATGTCACAAATTGTCACTATTTTCTTATGGCAAGTGCCCATATATATGGTTTAATAAGCATGAAGATGCCTTTATTGTTAGTTTCTTTTAGAAATCATTCTTTTAATTATGGACACTGGGGTTTCTGGTACATGAAAAGAACGGGGAAAAAATGTTCCATGCTTTATCAAACTTGAATCTTCTTTTCATTTTCATGTATTTCTCTTCTGAGATACTGAATTGGTTTAGAACTGTTGGCAGGATTTTTTCTCTCTGAAATTTTTGGGCTGCCATTGAAAAGGAAAAAAAAAAAATCTCTTTTCTTATAGCTCCTCGGCTGAAACCTGAGGTATGCAGTGATAAAAACAGATAGAATAGATTGCATTTAGTTTAACACCATCATATAGCTCATTGTCAGTCAATAAAATCTGAGATTAGAAGAGAGCACTAGAAAGCAGAAAAATCTGAGTTCAAATATTAGGTACATGGATAAATTTTTATTGAAGTATTTCCAGCAAGGGTGGTATAATCTGATTCTCTGAATAGCTAACCAGTGGTACTGCTTGATCCCATTTACATGAAAACAAGCTCTATTCATACACATATTCCAAATCCACATGGAGGTTCAAGCAAAAATGTACATGATTACAACAAGCAGCGATATGTTTATATTCATATATTTACAGTCAGACTTTCATAAACCTTGTGTGCAGGAGTGGAAAATAAGTTATTTCCCAGAACAGACAGTCTATTAGTTAACAGCTAAATTTAGTAGCTCAACTAGATTATAAAATAAATAAGAGGCAAACTGTGAAAGCTAGTCATTATTTAACCATTCAGGATTTTGACAATAAAAATAGTTTCATGTTTTTTTTTGTTCAGCAGTTCCGAAATAACTTGTAAAATGTCAACTATGAGATAAAAATAAGGAAAAAAATAAAATCTTGGTGAGGCTACACCTGGAAGAAGGATACACTGAAAAAAACCCCACTGAAATAGTGGAACTTTAAAGCATATCCACCAACCTCATATTTTTGAGAGGCAATTTTAAGGCCAGGTGAAGGTTGCTAGGATTTTAGAGTTTCATTTGACCTACACTTGTGGATATAGTCATGCAGGTGCTGGAATTGTGAGTATGAATAGAGGAGGAGAAATAACATGTGCCTGTTATGGACTGGCCACAAACAAGACTCTTCCACAGCTCTTCAAGAGCCTCAGATTTCTAATTATTCGAAAGGATGCATATATCCTTTTTTTTATTACAAAAAATGTTGCTGAAATTTTTAATCCAAGGAGCATGAAGGCCAGTAGGACTGAGCCAATAGAAAAACCTTTGTCTTTCACATTCTTGTGAAAAACCTTTTCACAAATAATTGTAATGTAGAGACAGTATAAGGTCTAGATCCCCACATCATTTTGGAAATGCATAATAGCCGGTTTTACTTAGCCTGACTGTATTCTTAAAGTTTGGCACACGCGTAAGTATTAGCACAACAGAGAGCAGGGGGGACTATTCCACATTACTTTGCCTGCTAAGATTTTTGCTGAAGTCATGGGGAATTGTGGATTCACCAGGAATGTAGAACTGAACTGAAAGTATTCTTTAAAGAGCTTAAAATATGTCAATTTTGTCTAGGTCAGTGTATTTCTTTTAATATTAGGAATGCAGTCAGATCTCTGTCCATCTTCAGTTTAAATTTATTAGTCATGTTAAGTCTGATTTCTTGCACACACTTTCACGTGCATTGGAATCTGTCCACATGGACAATTTATGTCAGCCGTGTAGCTGAAAATGAACAAACAGATAAATGGCTTTATACGCTAGGCACTATACATAAATGTTATCATGTCTGAAGTACACGTGTAAACTAAGCTCTTTTACGAGTTGCAAAATATGCAAAAAGAAAAATAAGTTCACATTATAGCCTATGAAATATATGCCCCTTACTGTGAGGGACAAGATAAAGGGGTATCAGCATGAAGCAAACCCAGAATCTACTTGTTTTTTTTAATTTGATTCCTTGTGGCTTACTCCTCCTTCTGTACAGTTTTGATATAAACTTTCATTTTGGTTTTAATCATAATTAAAAATTACTGCCTGCCTGTTCATTCCTATTTTGCAGGTTAAGAGCACTGCCTAAACAAAGTCTGAATCCTCAACTGTGTTCTTGCCTCTACTGCTGTGATCCAAATTTCCTTCCGACCCAAGAAAACCTTGCTAATCCTCTCCTGAGCTACTGCTTTCACAGTGTTCTTACTACATAAACATGAGACATTACCACTAAAGTAATGGCGAGCTAAGCCAAATTTGAACTGAGGTGCAAGAACTGAGTGCAAATGATTTAGAACACTACATTATTTAGTTTCGCTGAGCTGGTGTGAGCTTTAAAGGGTTCTCTCGGGTACATTTTCAGTATGCTCTGGTAGTATTTAGTCATACAAAATCTATTGCTTAAAGAAATTGTGTGACTAAATCTCCATGCATGGTCCAAATCCTGTGCTGGTCCTGTCTGTAGCACAGATTATCTAACAACTTCTTCAAGATTTTCCTCATCCAAGGCATCCTTTGACTCAGAGGGAGGATGGATGCAGCTGCATTGCATTAACCTTGCTTCCAGCATTCTCTGCTCCCTCTGGTCAGAGTATGTGGCTCGCAGACCAACAGACTGAAAATCACAATATTGGAGACTATTTTAATTGAAGTAGGTTCTGTTCCCAGGGACAGGCCTTTTGGAGGGCAGGGACAATTTGGAAGCAGAGCCAGAGCAACTGTCCCAGGTTATCTGGATTTCCTAACCTAAGAGGGCTAAGAGTTGACCCCCCCTACCACTAAAATTTCAATTGGGGTTGGACAGAAAAGGTATTACTGAAGTTGTCTAATGTAGCAGGTCATGTAACCATTTTAACTTCTCAGACATTCAGTTTCTGCTGAACAAAGGCCTGTAGTTCCCTCATTGTAAAAGAACAAGATTGGTGGCAGCAGTTGTGCTCCTATCTCATTGTAAAAAGAGAGAATGGTATGCAGCTCCGTTAAAAAGGAATTTAGCTCTGGTAAGCTGCCCCAAAATCATGTTTCCACTACACTGCTTTCAAAAATAAAAAACATCATAGATGCATTTTTCATTTTCAGTGTAATTCTGTCTACACAGGATCTCAGCCAGCCTTAAACATGTGCAAGCTTGTGATGTTTTATGTTGAAGAAAATTAATTATTTCTAATTATTTCTAGTGATTCTTTTGGGAGACAACTCATGCACTGTATTCCACCTCTTCTGCAGGTGGCTAAGGTCATGGAGAAGTAGTGTCTTATGGTTCCTATCTGAATAGGCATCTACCTGAGGTAAATGTCATTAAAACTCCCAGGGGATATTAGAGCTATCAGTTGCTGTTTAAATGAATGAAATTCAAACAAGCATTTTTTCAGTAAGGTTCTTCCAGTAAGATTAATCAAGGCTGAGGGGCAGCCCTCATGCCAATTGCTAAAGTTTACGTTTTCCTGTGGGCAGGCTATCAGAGAAATTGAAATGTTCTTTAAGAAAAGTATAGCTACCCAGTCTGCCGCATTTTCTCAACAATATGAAGTTCTGCCAGATTTTCCTGATGAAATTTGGTCACTACCAAGTTTTCTGATAGGCTTTTAAATATCTGCTTGACCCTATTATATGTAATATTGTATTCTCCTTGGTAGCTTTGTAGTGTCCCTTCCTAAATATCCCCACATATTCTGTTCTCTATGACTGGCATGTGATTGGCAGACCACTTTTTTCTCTTTGCTGTTTTCATATATTCTTTATGTTCTTTTAGAAATTTCAAACCTGGGGAAAAAAATTGCCCACATCTCTTCAGAAAGAGATGTTTAAGAATAAAGGAAAGGGAAGTATCATGAAGAATGGACAAAATGCCATGTAGTGTGGAACTCAAGCTTGACACAGGCTGGGAAGCTGTTTTATTGCAGAGAAAGCATGAAAAATAATGAAGAAAAAAAATCACATTATTTGTGGCCTGCTTGCCAGAGTTTCTCATCTGAATTGCCAATATAAATACAGCTCATGGTAGGAAGGACTGAAAGGCATCAGTTGCTATCCGATGGTTGTTTACTAACCATTGTAAATGCACTCTCACCCACAGTAACTGCATGTCCGCAAATATCTAGTCAAGAGTGATTGGCACCCTGGCTGCCACTATTAGTATATACATTAAGGTACTGAGGGGCATGAAGAATGAATTATCCCCTCAAATCATGAGGTAATCACACCAAAATAGGGCTGAGCATGTTGGCAACATCACATAGGAAAATTGACTCTGCTGCTATCCTTGTGAGACCCATGCTGGAGATGAAGGATTTCCCTCTTGAGAGAGGACAACAGTGTTTGAGGGAGAGAGGAGGCAGGGCCTTGTAAATCTTTAGTGATAGAGATAGACCTATAAATAGAACAAATATGCATAATAGTTAACCATTAATGCCACAACTGTGAAGTTAAAAGGAAAACAATACCCTTAATAGTAACACCTGAAATACAATAGAAAATACTAAAAAAAACCTCCACACACCCACCTTGTATAAAAAAACCCAACATGTAAAATGTTAATTGTCTATTGATCCTGATTTCTGCTATGGTAGTATTTTTCGTAGCTAGCATATGTGATCTGAGAATTTCAGCTATAAATATCTGCTCATGATGATATTTTAGCTTTGGTTTGGATTATATTTGGTTTCATGTGTTTCATAATATTTAGAAGTACCTGAACTGGGCAGAAATGTAGATCACAGTTTCTCTTTTACAGCATTGTGTAAACATATGTAATTAGCCTTGTACTTATCTGCATTAGTATCATTAGTATTGAAAACCCATTTTAATCTGGATTCTCTTCTCTTCTCAATGTCAGCCTGTTTCTGGACCGGTACAGAGCTAGCCTTGTTGATGCAATAAAGAGATTACTCCAGCCCAGTGTAAGTATGTTTCTATTTTCTCCTGAACACTGGCTTCAGAATAATTAGTCTGTGCACAATGATTGAGAGAGTAATGGAATGGCAGGATTAATGTCATGTAATACTTTAATACTTATTATGTCCAACTTCAATTGAGTCTTCTAATCTATCAGATTCTTTCCTAATCATAAACTAGAAAACTTCTTATACTTGGCCTTCTGATAAGGAACACAGTGGGTAGTAAAATAAATGAAACCGCTTCAAAGATAGCGTCAGATTATTTTTATCAAAGCGTTTCTCAAGTATTTTCCTTTGATAATAATGTCTTCATATTAAAGTAAAAGTACGATATTGAAAGTTTTTATGTTGGCTTCTGTCATTTGTAATCCCTTCAATTGTAACCTTTGTCATTGTGTATTTATTTATTATGAAAGACTATTTTTTCTTTTCATTTCTGTTTATATAAAATGAGCAAAACCCTTATGCATAGATTGTAGGCTAAAATTTTTTTCCATAAAGTCCTGTGTTAATTTTTTATACCTTAGAATATAATAAAATTAAGCTTTTCATAAAATGCTTACATGTTCTACAAGAATGTCATTAAAGAAATATTTTACTGATTTCAATCTATTAAGCTGTTAAATTGAGACCTACAGGGAAAAAAAAAATGCTGTCATATGCATATGCTTATACCCAACAAATAATGTTGAATCTGGAAAAAAAAATTAAAAGAAGATATCAAAATTAAAATAGGAGAAAACATGTGAAGTGATTGCTATAGGTAGGAATTTGAAACAGGAATGTTACCTTTTATGCTTAACACAGAAATCTTCCATTAAGGTAAACTTTCCATTCCAAAACAAAATTATTTCATGTTAACAACGCATTCTCCAAACTTTATTTTAAAATTGTATTGTAATTCTGTACAAGAGATTTTCTCTGTAAAAGGAACAGAAGATCCAAACGTGCAAAGGCTTAAGAAACCGAGTCATTTTAGCCATGTAAGTAATCCCATTCTTTCCTAAGAGTGATCAGGTTTCTATTCTTGGTTCCATCACAGACTTTCCTGAGTGACCTAAGGCAAGTTACTTAAGACTGAATTATTTTAATGAGCAGTGGGGCAAGGCTGCCAGGAAGACAGGAGAAATGTAGCCACCCTGAGGAAAAGGTTACCCAGATATTTATTTCAGTAGCAGCAAGGGGAAGTTAAGCAGCTCCTAACCAGCGTGATACATTCTGACTTTCATAATGTATCATCAGTTATCAGGGTGCAATAATTTTGGGGATGAAAGATAATCAAAGCTGATTCCAGTTTAAAAACAAAAAAAAATGCAAAAAGTACTTTTTTTTTCAGCCCAGATCAGCATCCAAACCTGGTTCTTCAGGTAGCCCCATAGGCCACTGTACTGGCTCCACTTGGCAGTCCTGGGGTGACAGTTGGACTTGATCTTAAAGGTCTTTTCCAACCTAGGTGGTGCTAGGATTCTGTGAAAGGACACTGACAGAGAAGAGTAGGAGTGTCAGGAAGTGTACAGGAGGTGCCCTGGTAACTGACCTGGCTAGAGCCTCTAGAGTGGAAGAATACCTGTTGGTTGCTTTGTCTCCTGCTTATACGTAATCATGGTCTGGTGGTCTGTATTGACAAAACCATGAGTACGCACATACATTTGTTTATGCACACAGACATGCATTCTTTACCTGGGCTGATTAGCCCAACAGGAGAATTTGATTTAAAAAACGACAGTAAGGCAGCCCAAATCTTAAGTAGTGTTCATAGCTCAAGTTCCCATCTATAGACAATTTAAGAATTGCTAACCTGACTTTAAACCAAAATTGGCCTGACTTTGTGTTTTTTAATTTCAGTCAGCTAACTCAGATTCAGAACCAGCCTTTGTTTTTCAGAGCAGATGAACTACAGTCCTTTCTGAATGTAGATGGAATAGAGGGAGATGGCTTTTTTATTGCCTGTCTTCCTACTGTGTCTTGCTTCTGATTATTGTGATTAATAGCTTAGCCTGTACTTATTTGGTAGGCATTTTAGGCTATGGTTCCTATTTCTTATCAGCAGTTCTAGCTTAAGAAATTCTTGCTCCTTGCAGGAATTTCTGTTGCAGAGTTTTGGACCACTATCCAAACTGTATTTTTTAACTAACGTCATTTGCCTAATCCGCTTTATGGATGGTTATATGGATGGATATCCAGACTTGTCATGGTCTTTCAAATTACTGTAATGCGTAACTTAGAGGACAGCAAACTATTATTTGACGTGGAAGCTGGGAATATGGACCCGGATTTAAAGGAACTCTCTTGTCCAGAAAGGACATGTTGAACAGAGAGGCCTTCAAGCATATGCTTTCGTGGTTTGAAAGACCCAAATATATATCTGAGATCCCAAGAGAAGAAGCAATCACAAGTACAAAATAGTTATTATTTTTACTATTCTAGTTAATCTGTATAAATCTCAGGTTAACATCAGAGGAAACTTTACTAAATGGCCGTATACTTTGGCCTTCAAGGGAAAAATTAATTAATAGTGAACTCATTGCCAGCATTAGTTTATGTCCAAGCTAAAGCATAAACTACTTTGATTAAGTTCACTCTTCTACATGGATTATTTTGTCTCCAATTTAGGAGTTACATTTCCTTATTGGTAATATTTTGCCAAATTGATAGAGGAACAGTATCAGATTGAGGACACATCTAGATTGAGACATCTTTCAAGTGTAACTAGAATAGAAGAGTTCAGGGAAAATAATAACCAGCAAAATTGAAAGGAAAAGTAGAGTAAACAGAAAATAATGCATATCTTTACAAAACTGTCTTGAAGGACAAATCCAGAACAGGTCATCTATTCTTACTGTTAATTTAAAAAGAGATCAATTTATCTGCAGTATTTCCTTTTTCATTAAGGATACTACCTGTTGCTATTAGAATCATTGTGGCACAGAGTGATGTGTTTCAGATAACTTTTTCTTTTCCTGGAAACAGAACTCTGGTCATTTCAGTCATCTGATTCATAGTATGGCCCCATAGACAGTTGTATTGGCACAGAAAGAGAGGGACAGAAATTCCCACAAGCAGAAATAAGCAGCTCGCAGAATTATTGGGGGCTGAAATTTCTGTCTGAATTTGTTGTAAATGAAGATGTTACCTGTAAAACGATTCCAAGAATTAGGCACTGGTATCATACACCAAATAAACTTATCTTCAATATATGTATTTTATTCCTCTTATAAGCATCTACTTGATGTGCCAACATTTAGGGGTTTTTTTTTTCCTATAGTTAAAACATACTTGCAATTTCAATCTCAGAATAAGCAGTTGCTTGTTTGTGTATTTTCCTTGATTTTTAATGAAGGCTTTGATTCTTCTGTGGTCTATCCCAGTGAGGTCAATGCCATGCTGTTGAGCCATGATCAGTACCAGCAAATAAGACGGCATTTAATAATGATTCATGAGTAAACTTAGTCATAGTCATGCCCAAAGTATCACATTATCTTGCTACAGCATTTTAGTGACACTTCAAACTATCACAGCTGACATTTTCTTGTGTGTTTTGTTCACAAGTATTTTCCTGGCTGAGAAAAGGCCATTTTGAACTTTAAACATCATCCTAATCTGGGAGTCATTTTTGCATTCGAATCAAATGAACTTGGGATAAACCATCAAGTGTAGGTCCAGGCCACTGGTCTAATTGTTTTTATTGTACAGCAACCAAGAAATGAAAAACATTTTAAAAACAGAAATGTGAATGCAGTCCCAGAACAAGTATCAGGATCACCGAGATCAGGCAGTTGACAAGAAAGTGCTTTAAACCCAGATTATGATAGACCAGAACTGACAACAGTACCTCCACAGTGCCTGCCAGTTTCGATGAGATTATTGTAGTATGAAACTTAATCATGATTTCTTGTTTTTTATGAGTGAAGGCAAGATCCTCAAGTGTTTTAGATGTATACTAGATTAAATAGGTGAATGGGTTTTTACACCAACTGCGGAGCTGGCCAAAAGTAACTGCGCAATGTTTTCCATAAAAGGCCATTCCCTTTTTTTGAAGTTATTTCAAGATTTTCAGCCTGGTTTAAATGTACCATGTTACATTCTATTTTACTGTATTAATCTTTCAAATTAAGTCTGAAGTAGTCTACAGAGATTACGAGAAGGAATGTCCACATGGTCTGTTGACTCCAAATGGAAATCTGTAAGGGGGTGCTGTTGTATGAACATTGCTTCCTCACTGAAGCTGTTGATCAGTGGCCAACGTAGGGCATGCAGCCTCCAGCAGCCTCTGTTCACAAGATATAGCCATTGAAGCCCCTGTGGGAATCATGTGGTCAGCAAGACCTGGGTGGGGAACACATTTCCTGTTACAGTCATCTCTCTGTGAAGCTGCCCATGAAGATGAGGGACTCTGGAGGAGTCTCATGCCAGGAATGGTCTCTGCAGAACAACATTCTGGGGAGCATGAGGTGGCAGCAGGAGGAGGAGGATCCTCAGTCGAAGGCTTCCTTTGCTGCCCACTACTTTCTGATGACATTAAAGCATGCCAAGGATGTGAGGGAACTGATTGTGAATTTCCTGTGTTTAATGTTTTTCATCCTGAGCTGAGCCTATATTCAGACCTAACATTTACATAAGCAATTCCAGTGCCTTGGGTGGGAGTTACACCCCTTTGCACCTCAGATTTAGCCACTGAATTAAAGTTACAGCTACACAAATCAACAGAAGCAAGTTGCTTTGGATATTGCCCTGTGTCTCCTTTGTGCTTAAATTCCCCATGAGAGGGATAACAGTAGTTCCCTATCTCACAGAGGCACTGTGAGAATAAATACAGTGCTGTGGTATTAATGATTGGAGTCTTTTAAGTACACATTAGTACCATAGATACTAATGTAGAGTTTTTATTGCTGCCTCACTGCACATTGTCTCAGCATATGTGTGTGTGAGCTGTAACACAGATTTGTTCCCTCTCCTCCTCCTCACTAAGTATCTGTGGCAGCAGTGTAACTTTCCAGAGTTGCTATTGAAATTATCTCTTCTGATCAAATTTTCCTGTGGTATACAAGATTGCATTTTCTCGAGCCAAATATTCTTCTACAGCATCTGATCATTTTATAACTCCTTCAGATCCCTGAAAATACCTTTTTTTGTCTCTTTGGTTGATTACAGCACCTCACAAATTAGTCTTAGCTCTCATTAATGTAGAAGTTAAATACAAGAACTCACAGTAAATTTTGTGGCTCCCCTTGGTGTGATATGCTGTTGGTTAATATTAACCTTTGTTTACAGCTCTTCAACCAATTTCCATTCCATGTGACAGAACACAGTATTCAGCCAATTAGAATTAATTTTGCACATAAGATTTCAAGAGATGCTATATCAAGTAGGTTAGGTTTGGGGCTTGTACTTTGCACAGAATGACTAAAATCTGTCATTTCAAGGTACAGTCATTTTCGTTTTCTTAAATACAGAAGGATGAACAAAAAATTAACAAATGGACCATGACGTATTGCCTGGGCATCATAAATGGCCTGATTGTCTTGAAAGATCCAGAATTATTATGCGAGAGCATTAAGTCCTACTTTAAATGCAATTTACCAGTTTCAGGTCAAATTTTGTTACGCTGCTCAGGTAGTTTAAAATACTTTAAAAAAATCAATTATCAGGTCTGAATTGCTTCCCATTTTGCCTTGTTTTACACTGTTGTAATTCCACTGACAGCAAATGGGGGGTAGTCTTCTATGTGTGAGAGTGGAAAAAAGAAATCAGTATTTACAGTCGTTGCGTGGTCATGAGCTAACAAATAGATTTTGCATTGAGTGTATGTTTTGTATGCTTTTTCTGTGTTTTATTTTGGTAATTCATAGCCATCATTATTGTATGAAAAGGAGCAGATGTCTGGCAGTTGGCAGTTTTCTAAAGAAAATATTTATTTATTACTTTCTATTTTGCATTTGTTTAATCACAGAATCTTGCATATTTTGAACAATTATTTGTATTACCCCATTTTAGTGTTTAACCAGGAGAACAATTGACTTTTCCAGCATGGGTATATTAAAAGCTTAGTCAGGTGTATGTTTATTTGGTTCCCTTCCAGTTTTAAAAATGTATAAATTCTCTTTTTAATGTTCCAGGGAAAAGCAATGGTATTTGCTCCACTCCGAGGGAATACTTTAAACCAGTTTTGCAATCTAGCTGAAAAAGCTGGTTTCTCTATCCAAAGACATGAAAATTATGATGAACACATTTCGAACTTCCACTCCAAGGTTAGTTTTCTGCTTGTGTTAGATAACACTTTAATCCGCATTGCATTTTGAAGAGATCATGGTCCTTTTGGCAGGTAACCTAAATGTTTGATTAAAGTACTCCTTAGGTGTGCTGTTTCTGAACAGCTATTTTTGTATCTGATTATTTTGTGTGGTAGAACCATCCTTTATCTCTGCACTCCTAGAAGAGTTTTGCAGGAGCATCTCCTGTTTACCCTTTTCATTCATGGAAATCTAATTTATGAGAGTCTTCTCTTGTTGTTGTTGGCTGAGTATAAATATATGTCACACTAGCATTTTTAATAAAAAGCTTGCAACTTTTAAGTAGGTTAAATACTGAAATGGAGTGAAATAAATAGGATGTGAGTGTCTAATTGTATCATATCGTACCTTAAATCCTTATCTCTGGCTGCTTTATGGCTGGGTCAGTTGGCAGCTTCAAACTGCTAAATCTCATACAGAATTTCACAGTTGTGGGGTTATATGTCAGATCGAGGCGCTACAAGATTTAGGTCAAAAGCACTTATCTGAGCATGATTTCTAAGCTTGCTTACATAAAGCTACTGTTATCAGTCTCCTTTTTTATTATTTATAAGTATAGAGTAATACAGGACATGACAAGGAAGGTGCTTCACAGAAAAGTTTTTAGGAATTTCTTATTTTTCTGTGTAGAAGTGCTTATCAAAATCGTATTTATTACTTGCAATTCTGAGATCTCTATTTCATACCATAACAAAATCCACTGTTGTAGGTCCATATGACCTTAGATATAACTTCTTGCTATTTTCTGAGAATTGCTCTTGGAAAATAGAGACATGTTCAGAACTGAAGTGAAATGCATTTTTTTTTCCCATTTAGCACCACCATGGGATAGAAATCAGATTATGCTAAAAAAAAATAGGCATGTGATGTTGTAAGGAACAAATTCATATTTCATTGTGGAATTTTATATTCAATAAAGACTTCCATTAAAGCTATCTAGACATGCGTACATAAAATCACTTAATTTCATTGGTCAGGTAGGTCTGAATCTGGTCACACTAAAACCAAATAAATTTCCGTCATTGTTCATCTACCACCTTGACTTTGAATCATATAAAATGACATTATTGTAAGGCCCAATGTGATGGGGGTTTTATTTGCCTCCACCTGAAAAAGGGCATGATTTTGATTATGTTGTTTCATGGTAGTAGTTCTCTTTCATTATCCACTGCATCCAAATCAGCTCTGCAGCAGAGAAATGCAGGAGTAATAGGTGTTATCTTGATCCAAGAGATGGGTCTAAAATGATAGAGTAGTTTATTTTGCGTAGAAAGCAAATCTATTCTATCTTCTTCTGGTTATGTGTCCACTGCAGTCCTTATAATGGTGACTAGAGCCAAGACATATGTGAAGCAGCTTTAAATTAGCTAGCTCTGGAAATGCCATTGTTTTACTGCAGTATTTTTAAGCCCACGCTGTGAAACATAAGATGGACACCTGCTTGGAGGGAGTAATGCCTAACTTCATTAGTTTAAATCCAGTTTGGGAATGCTTTTTCTCCACTGTAATCACAGTTGTGGCAGTGTTGTTCCTTGTTTCTCCTCCCTGTCTCCTTT